AACAAAAGTGGTGGCTAAACCTACATTTACACATCATCATAAATAACTTGCAAAAGCTGCGAGCATTACATTCACCGTGGATGATTTTGCAAACATCCTCATGATCTACTCTAGTATTTCGTTGTGGCTTTAGGTGAGCCATAGTGACATACTATCTACAGTTAAATAAGCTCAATCTAACAAGCAGTTAGCCTACTGTTACAAATCAAAAATACTATGACCGTGGAAATGGAAATCCACTCAACGGGTGCTCCCAGTGATCGTCCGTTCCGAAAAAGAAAGCATACGAATACAATGAGGACCGAGGTGTGATTGGCAAAGAAGAACCTCAGCCATCATCCAGGTCAAAGTGGGAGATGAGCAAAATCACACTGTCATGAGATTGCATAGTTAAGATGTTGTTCACGGCTTACTGAAGGCACCAAATTATGCATCAGGATTGTGGCTTAAGTTGCCATTCTTCCAAGGTTTCCAAGGTTCTGTGGGTAAAATCATATGCTAAAATATTTGTCCCGAACTTGCGCAATGCTCATCTCGAATGAGCGTTAATAAATAATCTCTGTATTTGTGCTAACCATGTAAACAATGGAAAGGAGAATTTTCTATTTCTGCACGCAAAAGGAAGGTTGTGAATGAATGTATGAACAAACAAATGAGTTATTCAATGCAGATGTGTTTGGAATTTAGTGGCGACAACCATGGTGAGTTAAGAGAAGGAGGGAAGTCATGCAATGCCCTGTTGGTCTGATGGAGTTCGAGATGAAATTGGAAACGTGGAGGACGAGATAACGCCAGCAACTACATTACGTGGAGGCTTATGGTTTCCGTCACGCCGTGCAGGTTGTGCTACGTCGGGCCGGGTTAGTACAGTTGTTAGTGACGGATGCGGCGTTGCTGGCCCACTTTCACACATCCCATGCCCATACGCTTCACTCCATTTCATTTACCTCCTCTACCCTCTTTTCGCCTCTTTTCTCTCATGTAATATCCATTATCAAATTCTCCTTGGCAATTGCCTTGAATTTCGCTACAAATCTTCAAACTTGCTGCTTTTCCTACACATTTATTCTATGTCACTACGTTTGGACCAAATTCTATTTTTCTCTTCATTTTGGGGCTCTGTTTAAGGAACTGTGTTTTACTTTTACTGGCACAGGGACAGCCAATTATTTACGCATGAATTTGTAAGGCTGACTTTTGCATCTCTGTATATGCCTTCACGAATAGCCATTAGTTCAATGTGAGTGCTGTGCACTGACCCACCAGTGCCTTAAGGGAAAACGGGATCTCATCATAGGGAAGTTTACACTATCCTACTTTTTCTAATGTACTTGGCACTCCAGACATGGAGTGAAATTTGTCCTCGCCAGATGTGTCAAATTTCTAGGCACCAGCTAAATTGAATTCATTTCCTTCACATAGCAATAATCCACTTCAATGATAAAATGAAGAAAGGAAGCTTTTAATCTCTAAGGATGAAAACTAAGAAATGAGTCTATATGAAGGGTGGATCATCACTGTGACGTATGATTAATGCTTCTTCTTCAT